GAGGCCCCCCCCCCCCCGCCCCAGCAGCCTCGAGGCACCGTCGTGCCCCGAGGCCGCCCCCAGACCTAAAAGAAAAAACAAAGTTAGAATGCACTTAAACAATTCAATTTATATAGTTTAATAAAAAAAAGACATAAAGAAATGAGTTGGGTTGAGTAATCATCAAATATTGTGTTTCTTACCCAATGAAGTTTCTCTAACCTTTCACAATGAAGGGAAAAGGATTGAACCAAAGGTCTTGTTTTATCCCATCAATCTTGATCTTCTCTGCATGTACATGGTTTTGAGTATAAATCACTATACTATACTAACATGACAGAAGTGATGCTGAAGTTTCACAAATTAATCAAGATAAAGGAGATGAGAAAAGGAACAAGACAAGACAAACATATTTTAAATGACCAAACAGGGAAATTTTGAAGGATTATAATCCATGTTGAGCAATCAAACTCTAAAAAATGATGTTTTTAGTTCTAATTATGGATGAGCCAACTGATCATGCTAAGTAAAAGGGATCAATGAATTAAAATGAAGAACAGTTTGAATAGAAACAGGTTTACTGCTTGGTCTGACTGCGGAGGATGCTGAAACTGTATTACTTAATACTTACAATCTTGGATGTACATGGTACCAAAGCCAAAAATGATTCCTAGTAGTTAGTCACAACTTCATATACAAAAAAAACAATTTATTTTTTTTCAATCTTCTCTCAGTGAAAATCAGCTTATAAAGTAATAGAAACCTTAGTGTGAAAACTTTTCTTCAACCTAATAACATAAACATTAGAACTTTTCTTCAAATGTTCGAAATGCAAAGTTGCTAGATAAACAAAAGGCAAGATTCATAATACTTTTTAACCATTAAAGAATACTTAACTCAGACATAATTTTAGAAAAGATTCAACTTCCAAATATCACAATCTTGGCCAAAAAATTGAAATCCCGTAAATCCCCTCATATCAAAAACCCTCATATCATTTCACTTGATTTTCACAATATCTTCAATCATTTTACTATCTTAAAATCTTTGAATAAACCCACCCACCCACCCCAAAAAAAAATCACAAGACTCACTGACATTTCACTTGCACAAATTTATAGAAACCCCATAGGCATACAGAAGATGATTCCAACATACAGAAAATGAATCATTGAACCAGTAATAAGAAAAATACACACAAAAAAAATAAGATAATTACTTTTCTACGGTAAAAAAGAAATACACATAAAAAAGTTGAGACCAAAAACAGGGAAACACTCAGACAAGGTTGGAAGAATAAGAGATGAGGATATGAGCAGAGACAGTTGATGATTCGAGACATTAGAAAATTCCCGTCGTTTCTTGGCCGCTCCAGCTTTTAATTTCGATTTTCAAATGTGAAGTAATATATACGTTAGAAGCAGACAAGGGTTTGAATTGAAACTTTAGTGAATGAATTTCACAAGACATTCTTTCAAACTTGAAATAGATGGACTAATAATTGAAGATAAATGATCCCAGACATGATATACTAAATTACACATTTCTACGAGTTGATTTTGAGGTTCAATTGATCAATCAATCAACAAAGCCCCCAAACCCTAAGCCATAGGAAAAAGTAGTTGAATACGATCGAGCAGTGGGATTCAAGAAGCATACCCAATGTCTGTCTCCCATCATTTGTCTGACAACCACCTCCTTCTTGTTTTGTCCTCGTCACCATGATCTTCACCATTGTCTGCAGCGTACACACCCAAAAAAAACTTGATTTCTTTTAAAATCCAAATTGAAAATGGAATTCAAACTTATGCAGAAGAAGAGAGAAAGACCTTGACTAATAACAAGAGCCGTTGTATCTATGAGAGAAGAGAAGAGAAGAGAAGAGCGGTCGAGGAGCCTTGAAAAGAACCGTTATGGGTGGAACTGATAGTATTTATAGTGTGCTTTCTCAAATTGGAATTTAAATTTACATTGAAAAGGATTAATAGCAAGAGCCGTTATTATTTTTTTTAAAATATAATCTAACTAATTTAATAAGATATTTGATTGAAACAAAAAAAATATTGATGTTTATTTTTAAAAAGTCAACATTATTTTAAAATTACTTTAAAAACATTATGAATTTATACAATTATTTCAAAGTGTTTCAACTAAAAACACTTGATGATTAATCTAGATTTTGGAAAGTAGTAATAATACTAATCAATAAATTTAAATAATTTTTCTAAACATTTTTTTTCCAGTTACGAAATATATTTAAAAAAACCCAACCAAACTTTATTTTTAAAATACTGAGCAGTAAGGCGCACGACTTAGAAGTAACAACAGGGCAATGCATCTTCCATTATTGACTTTTCGTTGTTACAAGCAAGCTTATTTGTACACTCCTCTTCATCTCGTTAGTTTCAAATTATCATTTTATGATAGAACCTCTAATGGTGTTGTGTGTCATAACATGTTTCCTTTGAGTTCTGCATTAGTAATTTCTTTTAGCGTACATTGAGATAGCCAAAGTGTATTGTTATTTTAGCTATGATTATTCCTTTTCTCTTGCACTTCATCCGTCAAGTTATTTTGATTGAATTCATCATCGTAGCCACCACTTGACTTGAAGTTAGCGCTCAATCGACGTTCAAGGCCACTTTAATCATGTGATATGAGAAAGATCCTAAATCCATATAATATTACAGTACCCATTATCATCACTGGACGCAGCAAACACCAGTACCCATTATCATCACTGGACGCAGCAAACACCATCGTGGGTTACATACAAGAACATCATTTAAATATATCATTGTCCTGTTGCCAATGACTACAAATAGTTCTACAAAACTCACAAGGGGAAATATACAGTAAGAACTCAGCTACAAAAAGCAGGACCTCTTAATTCGTCCCTCGAGGGAATCTACAACAACTAATATAGACTAAAAACACAAGGTCCAGAAAGGCAACCAACTGGAGATTCATATTTTGTACAACAAAAATTATGGATGAAGAACCACCGGAATATCTTTAAAAGCTGTGAGGTATATCTAATGGCATGAAAACAAAAATGCTTTAAAAGGTCATCCATCTGCTTTAATGGTGTTTCACAATGTGTCAGAGCAACGTAGGCAATTGTAATTAATGAGCCGGTGTGCAAGGCTGCCAGCCTCTGGAACCATAGCCGAAGTTAAGCCATTCCAAAAGTGAAATGTGACGGCTTCTTTGAGGATAGTTTTGAACAGCGTATCTTGTTTAGCTTTCTCAGTTTCCGTTGCTGGTGCCGAGAAGTATCTGTCAAAAGAAAGAGATAAGCAGATTATGTAACTTTAACCAGCAGATATGATGATGACAGATCACAGAAACCATGACATGTTTAGATTCTGCCAAAGCTCCCTGAATGAGATAACGGACCAAGGACTCAAAAACTTTTTAAAAGAGCCAGTGGTCCACTTAAATACCATGTGAAAAAGATGACCTCTAATGAAGCCCAAAATATAGAAGGCCGCCTTTGA